ATTTTTTTGCATATTTTTTGTGCTATGGTGAAACCCCCTCCACGAGGCTCTCCTTTAAAATGAAATAGTATTGTTAAAACCACTATACTGAGTAAATTACGATTTTAGGTTCTTACATACTAGCGTTATAAATTCGCGTAATTATTGACGCACGCAAACGGTTTTCGTAGACATTACAATATAATGGCTGAAACGATTATAATTATTGCTTTATGTCGTTTTTATTTATTCACATAATTTTGTATTTTATTGATTCTACATTGCAGACCCAACCTGGCAATTGAGCGGATCGTGGTTGTCGATCCTAGTTTCAAGTTGGTCACGAAATTGATTCTCGAGGTTCTGCGACCGTCCTTCGAATAATATTGTAATATTTTTTTTTTATATCTTTAAAACGAGATTCACACGTGCATTTTATATTATAATATAATTAAAGTACGTTTATCGAGGCCAAAAAATTAGAATTTTTTTTTCATTTCAACACGAAACACGCGTGCTTATATTTAATTTTTGTTTTTCAAAACAGACAAGCAGTTGCTGCTGCAGGGTACGATTTTATTTTACTTCACCTTTCAAAAACTCTGTACAAAAGCTGAATAACTACATTTTTACCGGTACATCATACCCGCAAGTGTCTTGACTGTTCAATTTTAAATATTGTTCATAACTTGCTCTAAAATTAAAATATAAAAACAACTTATGAGTTGTCGTAGATAATATTCTTACTTTATTATAATTGATAATTGATCAATACATTCTAATATTACATATCAAGTGGTTTGGAGTTTATTCTGAGTGTAAAATGTGCCATTTTATGCGTGAACTGGACGGATACATCACATACTTATTCTTCCGAGGAATATAAAGTATAAACTGTGCTTAAGCGACGAGTTTTTACATATGTTTATTTAAAAAAATGTTAAAACGAGTTATATGAATTCGAAATTTGAAATTATTCAAGTACACATAACTCGTTATAAGATAAAATATTAAAAAACTTCGGTCGAGCACAGTTTAAACTCTTTATAATCTCCTCTACAAATCCGATGATAAGTCAATTTGCTAACTAATATTAAGTATAAAGTATAAATTGTACACAGAGAATCCGGTATGTAGATATTTGATATTATATAATGTGACTCTAGTGCAAGAAGCAAGAGAGACAGAGACGACGCATAAATATGACGATTGATTTTGATAAGTCTTCAGACAGCAGGTAGCTGTTTCCCGTGTGTACAACAATTATTATATTATTAAAATAGACAATATAATAATATGATTTATTAATTATTATTGTATTAAACTATGTCACTGTTATATAATATTATGTTTGGAAACTGTACGCGTGCAAACGATAACCAGCGAAATTCCGGAAATCGATAATAAAAAAAAAAATCACTGGTACGCCGCTGTCGTCAACCGACGCAATAACATTGGGCTCTCACACGCGCATGCGCCACCGCCTCGGACCGGTTTCTCCTGCTCATGCATAGCACCGTGGCGATCATTGCCGGACGCGCTTATCTCGTCCAAGAGCTCCGACAACTGAGTATAAGCACCAAGTATTATCATATTTTTTCTTTCGTCCGTGACTAGGTGGATTTAAGATTTGATTTTGGGACGGACTTGACATAAGGTCCAATTCAGTTTTTAAACACGAAAGTAGCCAGAGTGCTGGTTTTTGTTGGGGGGGGGGGAGAGATTAATTAATAATATGTTCTGATTTTGAATCCGTTTCATTTATTTTTAAGTCTCTGGGAGGGGTAATCTGCGGACGAGCCTACATGGAAGTTAATACTGATATATTTAATTAAAAAGGATTGAGGTCTAATTCATGGTTTTCAAATCGTCATGTTGTTTACTAGAAAATGTATTCCATTATAATATTATAATATGTTCTTCATATTTTTCCGAATCCATTGGTGTAGGTATAAAGCAAAAACATTTACTATTCGTCGCGACGGTGTTTTTATTTTCCTTTTTTTATTCCGCCAAAGTACATAAAAAACTTTATATTGTCCCAGTTTATTATTTATTTATTGTTATTTTTTTATTTTTTTTAATTACAAAACTTGTGTGACTGAAATAAATACGTTTGAGCAGCAGCAGCAGTAGTATATTAGTATATATATATTTATTATTTATGTTTGTAAGTGTACCATTAGCAATTTTTTTTCCCGACCGTTAAAACATTTCATTCTCTTCTCTTATCATGGCCGCCGTCGCCTACCTTATGTGGAAAGTTTAAAATTCTTCAAAGCCCGAAATGTAATTATTATACTCGTTATATACTATATTCTTATAAATTCATAACTCGGTTTGGAATCGTGAACGGCGAACGACTTACGGAATGATAAAGGCGAAAATTATTATTATTTATACACCGACGATTGTGTACTTCTTGGTGTTTGAAAGCACTTCGATTTAATTTATGTTTCATACATTTCTCGAGCTAGTGACAAAGGCTATAATAAACTCACGATATTTTCTCACGAATAATATTATAATCTATGAGACGTGGTCGAATTTAAATTCAAATTCGTTAACCGAGAGTATATAAGAGTGAAATGTATTATATAGGTAGCTATCCCGTCAATAATAATAAGTGTCCGATCTTCGCACAAGACATATTATAAAATAGGAATACTTATATTATATTGTGTGCAAATGCCTAACCTAACCTTCACCTCCGTCCCGCAGTGGACTCGCGAGTTGTGGCTACTGATTACCGAAATAAATAAAATTTCAATATAGAAACAACGATTAAACAACCATAAAAACTCTTATTCCTGGTTTATCAATATCATAATTAAACATTTTCCCATGCAATACAATAATATTATGATCATATGTTGAGGTTACATAATTCAATTATGCCCAGTATATAGTGTTTCACTGGTTAAATTAAATATTTTTTTTGCGTGCGTAATAGGCGTGAGCGATAGGTTTATTGAAACCGCAGAAGAAATATTACATCATCGATCGTCTAAAGGCCAATTGGTGTAATAAGTTGACTTTAGAGACCTTTAGATAGATCATTTCAAACTAAAATTTTTTATTATATATGTAAGTAATAACTAACAGTAAAAACGATTTAACATGTACTAAGTTTACAGTATTGTTGAAGCACTTACAATTTTGTCGAATCAAAATTTTACTTATGTATATATAAGTGCATAACATTTAACATTTTATTATTAAATTTAATTGCCTGTGAATCAAAACGGTCTCTTTAGCTTTTCTACATTTTATTTTTTAAGATTAATTAATAATTATTATGTCATGTGGCCTCCAATTAAAACCATTTTGTACTAATTAACGTTGAATAATATGAGTAAACGTAGAGAAAGGCACACCTATCCCAGCTAGATTTAGGTATCCGTTAAAAAACCAAACTACGCGATTTGTTGTTCATGCTTAAATATATATTTTTTTTATCTATTTTTTTATCTATTACATGTGTATTGCTGTGGGAAAAAATTATTGCATTTTTTATATTGTCTGGATAATGTTATAATGACCAAGTATATATTATTGATAATTATCGCTTTATTTATTGTGTCCTGTGCACAACATGACGCAGTTGTAGGTCAGAAAAATTGACGGAAAATACATAAATATATTAGGGTTTTTATTTTATTATTTCCAATTCTTTAGGTATATACGATATAATAATATTCGGAATATTTCAGATGTTCGCTCACGCAAACGATATCGTATACAAATTACATAATATTGTTTTCGATAATATTAAAATCAATATAGTTGAAAACATACAAGTTTTTTTACATTAGTATTATAGTATACACCCGATATTGTGTGAATATATTCCGCTGCGTTGGTAATACATAGGCTTGGGTACTGTACACGCAAATTCGGCGGTACATGTTTGTATATTTTCACCTTTATATTATTTTTGTAAAATCCGACGATTATGAAACAATATTATTAAAAATCGGTGTTTCGCAATCGAGACGGAGCTTTGGGATATTATCTACGATATAAATTTTCGATTCGAAAGAGTCTAGAAAAAAAAACCGCACACAGTCGAATGGTACGTATTGTAATCGATACCCGCTGTCTGTTATACGACACATATTTTTATTTATTCGACGGCTATAAATATTATCGGCACACACAAAGTTATGTTATAGTATTATAATTTTATCGTGTTATCGTACTCGCGCGCTCGTAGAACGAAACGGTTTATGGAGGCCAAAGCAAATGATAGTGATACCTAATATTATAATGATTCCGAAATCGCAGTGAATATTTTAAAATAACGCCGGTGCAGCCACGTCTCGGGAAAAAATAGTCGTTTAACAGAAATCTATTGTGCTGTATACGAAAAAAAAAAAATTGATTGCAATTGTTTACACAGTATTATGTTATAGGTACTGGGACACAAGAATTATTACATTTTTGTTGTAAAAATGGTATGATAATGTCGCGTCTACGAGAATAATAATATTTCGATCGCGGTTCGGTCGACGACGACAGTGACGGTGGCGGGAGCGGCGGGGGCCGAAACCAGTTTTCCCCCTCGTTCCGCTGTAATAATAATGTGTTCATTCTCTACGGTCGCCGTCGTTGGCCGCGAAAATTCGGTCTTAAAAACGTTTTAATTCCAAAACGACATTAATAAAAGTGTAACGACGACATCGTCGTCGGTGTATCGATCGAGAGCAAAACAATATTCTGAAAACCGACACCGACCGTTTCCGACCAAACCCAGAGAAGAACCGCCAACCGGCCCTCCCTGTATCACTCGATGCTTATGACGTTATGATATATTATTATGTTAACCGTGTGTGTTGCGTGTATGTGTATGTGCCATGTGAGTGTGTGCGTGTGTGAGTGTGTAAATAATCGACGGTCGTGTATTCATTATTATTTTTTTCCTCTTGTCGGGCGGCGATGGCTGCGGCGGCGGCGGCGGCGGCAGCAGCGCGCCACACACACACGCACACGCACACGCACACGCACACGCACACACACACACACACACACACACTGTGCTCTGCCGCGGAACCAGCGACCGAGACGAGTAGGAGAGGTATACACGAAACGGACGCTCGACGAGCACTCGCCCGCCCCCGTCGGCACTGGCGTCAGTACGGCCGCAGAGCGCGTGGGTGCCGGTCCGGTGTGTTTTTGCGTTCCGTCCTCCGCTTGATTTTTCGGCGGTTTTTTCTTTACCCCAACTCGGCACCGTTTCATCGGAGAGCTAAGAAAATATAAAACCATCACGATACAATATATTATATTGACAATAATCTCGGTTCTCGCCGCCGACATCATGTCGTCCGTCATCAACGTGCGGCTCAACGAAAAGATGACGTTGCAGTTCGTCGAGCTGTACCGCGACCAGCGGGTGCTGTGGGACAAGGAGCACGAGGCGTACAACAAGCGGGCGGAGAGGTTGCGGGCGTACCGGCGAATCGCCGAGGCCATGTCCGTCAAGGGGATGGGCGTGCCCGAGGTGGCCAGCAAGATCAAGAACATCCGGTCCACGTACCTGCAAGAGCTGAAGAAGATCAAGGATTCGGCTCAGCGGCACCTCGTCCAGTCCGAGGAGGAGGACGCCTCGTCGCCGTACGTGCCCAAGCTGCTCTGGTTCTCCATACTAGACTCGATGATCGGTGGCGCGGCCGTCAAACGCCTGTACTCGTCGCCGTCCACCGCCGACATGCTGGTGAGTACCCCCTCTACTGGTGGTCATGGGGGCTGTTTTTTAGGTGGGAAAACGAACGGCAGGTCTTTGCTCTTCTCCTGTCAACCAATAATATTACGTTTACCTACTCGGGTTTACTGATGAGTAGGTGGTATATGGCGCTGGGACAATTTTCATGATCAACAATATTAATAATGTTTAGGTACATAGTTTATAGGACGAGATTAGGTTCATATAATAATCGAAAATCATGTACTCATAGTTTTTGGGTAGGTATTAATTCGAACCACGGACTATGATTATGTCCGTGATTTGAACTACCATGCAATAATTCTTCTTCGACGCACTAGCTGTTATAGGAATTTCCCACCACCCAATTCGGGCGGACGGACTCAAAATGTTTACAACCACTGGCCGGTGTCTGGGTTTTTTTGTGTGATATAAAGCGACGATCGGGTACTTTTTGTACTCGTATATTATATCTACTGCCATTGTTCAAGCTATATAGAAATGGGACGACTCACAGGTGAAATAAAATGGTTCCTGTCAAGAGTAGCGTACCCGAGCGGGCCCCCTATCTTGTCAGACGTACATTTTTTAATAATAAATATTCAATTATAATAACCCAAGTATTCAATGTATAAAAAATATAAATACGTTTGGTATCAATCCACAGTAGGCACAGAATAATCAATCCATAGAATAAGTCCATAATGGGACGAAAAATATTTTTTTTAGTATTCCACATAATTTTGATTTATTTGAGTCTCAAAAGTAAATATTTTAAAATCAAAATTATAAATGGCTTACTTTTACTCTACTAATGCTTCCATTTGTTTTTTTAATATAATCTATACACAGCATTATATAAATACAATTAAAGTGTCTGTCTATCTAAGCTTATCTCTGAAATGACTGAACAAATTTCTATGGGACTTTCACTGTAAGATAGAGTATTTTCCGAAGCATATTATCAAGTACATTTTATTACAATATAAACAGAAAATAAGACTAATTCTAATAAGTAAAAATAACGATGCTCATGCTATTTACAAGATGATAACTTCCCACTAGACAGACGGTTTTATTTTTAAATACAACCCACTAATGTAAATAAATAGTTTTTGCAAGTTGAATCTGAAACACCAGCGTGAACCAGTTATTTTGAATAAATGATATAGATCAATAACATAAGAAAAAACTACTTAGAGGTTAACTAACATTGATAATAAAATAAAATATTTCATAAACATTTTTAGAAAAAAATAAAATAAAGATGATGTAATTTCGACGTTAAAATGTAATCGAGAAATAAACAGGTAATATACGAGTATAAATGATATCAGAAAACAGAAATTTAATAATACATACCCGTGTTAATTATAGCCTGTTATTCAGTATAATAATCTTTAATTTACAATAATATAGTTATAAGTTATAACGGCCTAATTAATTAGGTTCACTCGACTTCTATAAAATTGTAATAACAGATTATGTATTTTTAATTTTTAAACACCAAATTACTTTATTTTTGTCCAATTATGAACTAATTTTGGCCCACCATGCAACCGTTTCATTGGCCCGATCCGCGATAACACAAAATGCTATGACTTCGTTATCGAGTTGGTGTCAATATTATACAAGGAACCTTGATATTTTGTGACCTTACTCATAGAGCATATAATATTAAACCAGTACAAGGAGGAACTAAAATGGTTATTAAATCATTAAAATATTATTTCGTTGCAACTGCGGAATATACCTTAGATAATTGATAATCCGGCCAACTCCATGTTATAGCAGCCCTTCACTATTTAGTCGTTTATAAGCCAAAAATTACTCATTTTCACGTTGTGCTTTTGTCTATTTTTTTCCAGTCCATAGATTACGCTGACGAGAGTAGCTGCCCCGCGAGTTCCAATAACTACCCCGACTACAGCTCATTTTACACTAACGACTCTTCCGATCCGGCCAAGAGACCGTCGTCGTCGTCATCGGTGGTGGACGAACAGCCACCCGCCAAGAGGCTGATGTACGAGCGACAGCAGTCGTCCGCCGAGCTATTCTCCAGGTACATCGCCACCTCGCTGGAAGCACTGCCACCTCGGCTGTCGGTGCGTGCACAGAAGGAAGTGCACGACGTCCTGGTCAAGTACAAGTTTTTGGAACTCGACCAACTAGACCAACAGCGATGACCACGACAGTGCTACAAGCTAATAGGTATACCCCGCTCAGAAATGAAATGGTCCCGAATGTACATGCTACCTAGTAGGTATACAGAAATTGGGTTTTTTTCCCACCTGCTCTTAAACATCGTCGATTTTTCTCGATTTCGGTATGGCATTTTTTGTTGACCAGAAAAATTACTACGTTCTTTCTGTGAACGACGAACGGTTTCAATGTTATTTATAATATAATAACTAATAATAAACCTTCCAAACGCTTCTGCTGTTTAGCCGGTTTCTGCTCGCACGCTGAACGTCCCAAGCACATTATCATAGTACGTAATGCGCACCGTACGTTAGTCGTCTCCCTGCCGGGTGTTAAGAAAATTATGTTCAATATAATATTTTAATCATGTACGATGGAGAACGAACTGTTCAAAATTCAGTGTTGGCAGAATATATTACGTCGGTGCGGTGCGTACACACTTATATAATATTCAGTGGGTCATACTTTTATTCGTTACCGTGTTTGGTTCGGCGTTCGTATACAATTTTTCCGTTTGGCATCTCGTTTTTCTCGAAACGGATCAAATGTATGGAAGGTCGCTCGACGACCGCAGCTCTCTTCGGCAAAGTCCACGGCGCGCAGTAATACACTGTGTAGGGCTGAGTATTCGGAGAATTTTTTTTGCCACGGAATGTTTTTTTTCCATGCATCCGAACCCTCGCAGAGACGTGACTTGAGGCGACGCTAAAAATACCCATTACGCAAATTGGCCGCCGCACCGACTTCAAAGCGAACGCTTTCGAATCGATAGGGACCGTAATCTCGACGCTGAATCTGCGCGTTATCGACTAGAGCCCCCCTACGTCCCCTCTACTACCACTACCACTCATACCTTTGGATGAATTTTATGTTGTATAAAATCGGACCGGCGCCGAACGACGGGGAGAACGATATTTTATATTGTTGTCATCACTCATCAATCGCAGCGTATACCTACTTGGCACGTAGTTAAATTTAAAAATCGATTGTTTTATTTCCCGGTGGTATGTATCGTTAATTGTTTGTAAATATATTTTATGACTTTGTGTATATTTGTGCTTTCGATTTATCGACGGACAATCAAAATAATATATACAAGACAATGTTTTTTTAATATTATATACTACTTTAATTTAATACCAAACGTGTACATTATCCATTGTATTGAATAAAATGTATTTATTATTTTATGCATTTTTAAAAATATTGTTTTTTTTTTTATTAACTATTGGTCGATCGATAATATTATTACAGCCATCCAGGTAACAACAACAGTAATGACGTCGGACGTCCAAATGCGATTTTCGTCGATTTTTATCTACAGTATAAGTACGTAATTATTGTAAAAGGTGATGTATACATCACAACAAATACGGTGAAAATATAATAAAAGTATCATTTCGGAGTAAAAATAGGTCACTGATTAATGTAGCTTTTTACGGTTTTATTTACCCAAGATCTATACAGTATTGAGCTACCGATGGATCGTGAATACAACTTTTACGGTAAAAATGCGCCGACGTTAATGTATTGTCCTTCCACGACCAAAACCAAACGATAATAATTATGAATTATGACGAAAGAAACTATAGACATCTCTCGACCATTGTCAAATTATAGGTTTAGTGAAAGTTAACTATATGTGATGTGTACCTACTTTGTTCGTGTAAAATATTATGTTATTTTGCCATAATCTGACACGCACAGATCACGTGTTCCTATTTCGAAGGATCTAAACCGATTCATGTTTGCGTAATATTATTATTGTATTTTTGACTTTTCGAGAGAACGGACTTTTTCGTATGCCTATAATCATGGTTGAAATATACAAGGTTATTGCATATTATACCTAACCTAACTCCTTCTCAATCAAATATTTGATGATAAAACTAAGTGGAGTCCTATATTTTTCATGTTAAGAACGGTGATATTTGTGATATCCCTTTACTCAGCTTTTTTGTATCTGAAGATTACATAATCCGAGTCAATTAGATATATGCAATAATCTGTGTATTTCAACGATGTATCTAATATAGTTTGGGTTTTTATGGATTCTCGAATGATCCATAATACATCGATGGCACGTCATCCATAGCACCCACGATTTAAGATAATATAGTTGCCCGACGGTCTATTATAAAACGAAATCTCACTAAGAACGATATGAATCCAAAAATCACCAGAACCTTTGATTTTTTTGAGCTACAGCGCTATACCGGTGGTAAAATCTAATTTGTTAAAATGTTAGTTAATTAAATATTAATTAGTGGTTATTGTTTATTTTGCTATTTACTTTTAATATTTGTTAATATTAGTGTACAGATATTAATAAGATGAGTAAATGAAACGTAAAAAAAATAGTCCTCTAGAAGCACTTGTACCGGTATCTGGATTGATATCCTATACCGTCTTACCGTTGATCTTTGAGCAACCATAATATTTTAAATCGTAGTAGCACCGTAGCTGGTTCATTTTATTATTTATATAAAATATATTTGACCCATTCGACCAACCCATTTTCGAATTTCACTCTACACAACAACTTAATAAGCTTATCACTGAGTGATACTGAGGCTCAGGAGTTGATGACTTAAACACATTAAATAATAACCTGATATATTTTATGATAATACTCTAATTAAATTCTTATATTGTAAACATTTTTTTTGAGTGCAATTAACCGATAAACGATTACACTATACTGCAGCGGTTGTAGAGTTCAGACGTAGGAAATGTGTTCCAGTAACAGATCACTGGTGACTCTGCGGATGATAACTGATATTTAATAAACTAGAAACAATTTTCTCCTTGCTATTTAATTCAAGTGTGTCATGTATGTCAAGTAGTATCGTGACAGTTGAACGAATATTTTTGGAAATTTATTTAATATGGACATTGGAATAAACTAGCTTAAAAATCGACATAATAAAATAAACTAATTTGTAATTATAATAACGATTGAACAATTTTAAAAATATTTGAAATAATCACTAACAGTTGGTAAAAAAAAAAAAACGTTCAAATGAAAAATATACTCATTAAAATAAATACCTAGTTTAATGTTTAAAATTGTATTTTTACAACACCTTCCGCCCAAAACCTTAGCGTTGAACTAAAAAACTGCTGTGCACTGTTATAATTTAGTCAGCTGGTGTACCAAGATGGTGTTCGATAAATATACTGACTGGCTCCCACGTGAGTTCTTTTTGTACATTATAATATTACATATTTGCCGACCATAAAAATGAGTGAAAATTCGAGAGTATAATATGACGTACCTACCTATACATTATACAGGAGAACATCGTATTGTATCGATACTATACATAATAAAATAATTCGTACAATTTCTCTCGTCGTACTGTGATATTATGTATTATTATAGCTGCAGGTTAGGTTTTGTCGAAACACCGTCGAACGAACCGGCGAGATTGTGTACAATAAAATATATATGACAATTTGCCAGGATTAAATCCCTTCTCCTCGGTCACACCGTCGACGCACGTTAGGAGGGCTCCGCTACGCCCATGTGCACAATAATAGCCGTATAATTGACTGGCGATGAAATTTCGATAGTACACAATGGCGTAGTCGAAATCTCGTGTGGCGTCGTCGTGTTGGAAGTGTACATTTTCCAGAGGTCTGTTGCAGCGCACGGCAAAAAGAACACCTAAATACTTTTCCGTTCGTGTTTTCGATAGACTAGCACAACCGTCGACTTCAGACTTCTCGGTGTCCAAATTAAGTATTTTCGCTGCGTGCCGTTCGGTTTTCAATCAAGATGTCAAGCTTTTCCGATACGATTTCGTTAGCGTTGTAGAACTAAATGTATACCTAAATGTAAAAATGATAAATAATAATAAGTTATAACGATTTATGTTTATGATTGTATTGTGAGAAAAAATGGTCTGTTTAATCCAGGGCTTGTTTGCATACACGTTTGGTAAAAACAAAGCCACCCACAACGACTTCAACGTTTTTTAAACGTTTGGTGACAAGTATGAAACGATCAAAAATAATTGTAAACCTACCGTTCACGCCAAAAAAAACAAAATTTAAATATTTACAACTCTACGAGAAACAAAAGTGTTATGTCTGCACTGCGCATGGACAAAGTATCGTGATTTTATAGTAATTAGGTAGACAGTGAAAACAATAAAAACAAAGAAATAACATTTTTATATTGACGCATTTATTCCATTTTAAACCATACAAATTGATAAATCGAACAATTTTTATTTTTCAACTTCACAAATAATAATTATAATAGTAATGTCCTTTTTATTATCGTTTGACATGGTCTAATGTGTTTGCGCGTGGGCCTCCACCCCACCATCAAGTAATCGGAAAATCGTTGTTTGCCGTATTGTAAAATCATAGCCATATTGTATTATTATCTCGACAGTGGGCTAAGAAATTATTATTTCATTTGTATTCATTTTCAACAGGTTTATCCAGTTTTATTTTCCTTTGAATAATTAATAAAGACACACACACACACGCATGAAGACGTATTATGATACACGAATTACGACATAATATTGTGTACACCGTACTCGCATTTATAATACACGAACTTTACCAACAGTGCAGACCGAAACCGTACGGTATAATATGATATTTATAAAATTATTTACAGATCTACCTGAGGTCCGGAAAACTTACGTCTGCTTTTCGTCGGTATTTGGATTTTAAAATGATATAATATGCACATTAGTATATTACAGAATGTTCTTCGCCGTGACCCGAGATAATGACATATTATAATCGTGTGGTCGTATTATTATTTCAACCCGCGGCTAAATATCGAATCCTGAAGTGGTTAGGTTTTCGCGGTTAAAAAATGTCCTGTGCGTTAAATATTTCACTTACCCCCGCTGTTCTCCCGTGTTTGTCGGTGCGGTGTTTCGGGTGGATATAGGCGGAAGTGGGAGAAAAGTCCTCCGACGCCTTTTTTCGGAGTCGAAGTGTGTAATACTCCTGTAATATTATTTTAAGAGTATAATATACGAGCATAAGGTATAGTTTTGTTCGCGGTATGGAGTTAACAAAAAAAAAAAAACAATACCTCGTTTTTACGATGTCATAAATTATATTACAATAATATATTTAATAGACTAAACCATCAAAATTATTTCCGTCGTTACCGCATAATATTATAATATTTTATACAATTGCGGGGGACTTAACCCCTCCAGTTTTTTAAATCATATTTTAGTTTAAAATATCAATTATCGATGGGTCAATGCTGCTGATACCATTCTATCCCCCCTAGAAAAATGTCCCTATAATTGCACCTATGAACCGTCGCGAGGTTTTGTATAATATCGCGTCTCCCGTGAATCGGTCGCTTGTCCAACCTAACCTAACCCTAACGACGTACAATACACACGTTCGACAAAAAGTTGTATCGATTTACAAAAATATTTGCATTCTTAAACCAACTTAGGTGTGGCTTTATACTATATGCGTAAGACTTGACCGAAAAACAAATTAAATTAATATGGGTAAAATTAAATTTGGTTTTCGGCGTGTCCCTTAAGACGCATAGAATAAGTCATTTTCAACATAAAAATATGTACGAAACCACTATAGCACTGACACTCCCACCTAATGTTACAGTAAAACGTAGTCACAGATTTCGTTTTCTCGTCGTCCGTGGCTGTTTGATTGCATAACGGTATGATAATTTTTGCTTTACCCAATGCCGGCCGAACGGAGTAATGGTTTTTTATTATTTTAATTATTTTGTGTTTTTTTTTATGTTCATTCTCGGACCGTGTGAATTCG